TGTATATGTGTGCTATGGTCAAAGTTCGATATGCAGTCTTTTTCCGAACCTAACTGGTTTATTCAAGATTTGACCAAAAACCTTTCGGCATACTCCGAAATAAATTCCAATTGCGGTCTTTACCTAAAGAATTTTTAGTCAAACCTAGAAATACCTAAGTTTTAAGTCAGACGTCAAAAGTAATATGTAATTGTAATTTCTAATTTTAAATTTGTGCCCACAATGAACTGACTCTGAGAGAAATGAGTTACTGCTCAAAATGCCTTGTTAAAATAGAGACAAATAGATTTTTGTTTTAATTACTGCTTACAATTCAAAATATGAATAAATATTTGCTATTCTAATATTCAAATAATAAAAGTTAAAGTTAAAAATGTTGTTTTATTATACTTAATCTAACATACTACGTAATTCATCTTTAATACATAGGTTTGACTGGCCGAGCCCTGATTAAATGAAATTGAGCTTCGGTGTTTAACTTTCCAAATAACTTATTTTAGAAGAAACTTCTTTGAATAGTGAAGAACGTCATTTATGTAGACTTAGACTAGGCCTAAGGTCAGACCTGAGGTTTAAGTAGTCCCAGCTTCGATCTTTGACTAAATGTAACATACATATCTAGAAAATAAACAAAAAATGTTTTTGAAGGCGCCCAAGTAGTGGTCCAACCAAACTGGTTACGAACCCGCTCACACCATTCCTGGAATGTCGAGGGTAACTTTAACCCGCCTGGGTAATTGGGATCTAGTGTGGAATGCTATGCCGACAGATGCTTAATATATATGAGTCGATTACTCAGTTTTGCAAAACCCACAAATTGGTTAAACTATCGAGTGACGGTTATTAGAATCTTCTGTGGTATCACAATAGACCCGTTTGTTGGTCTGATTGAGCTGTCTTCCAGCAACCAAACATTTTGCTTTCAAGTGAATTCGCAAAAAGATGCCATTAAATTTATTAAATATGGCTCTTAACGAATCTACAACATCACATTTCTGATAAAATTTTCCGGAAAATTTGTATATCGTTCACTCACAAGTCTTGTTGCAATTGTTTTCCACAATACAAACTGTACTTTTATCTGCTTCGAATTATTAAGCACGATTTTGGCATGATACCTGAAAACTAAAATATACGAAAATCGATTTTTATGTTATTTTATATTTTTATAAACAATATGAAACTTTAGATTTTTTATAGTTCTGAAGTTTAAAATATTTTTTTTCTGCCTCAACTTAATTTAAATTGCTATTGATTTTAAAGAGGTAAAGACGAACTTTATAGCCAAAATGTTAAGCTGATTTATGGATTAAATTGTGAGAACTTTTAAAATCATTGGCAACCCACAATATTTAACCAACTTACTCATTACACATTGTATTTAAAAATATCGCCTATCCAAAATATTAAAACAAAAGAATTTGTAATTTCCAGTCATCACGTTCTTGAAAATAAGCCATACCCTTTTCTCAGATAGTTTGCCTTTGAAAATAGGGAAGTTCATATACAACAGCTTTAAATTCTAGTGATTAAAAACCCACAATGGCTGGAACAAAACTTAAGTAAAGTTAAATATACTTATTATTAATATTAAGAATATTATTATTATCTCGAAAATACATTGAGTGTGAAAGAAGCAACTGTTAGTTACATTATAAATAAAGTTAATTGGAATTGTCAGAACTTTTCACCGGACGACCTAAAGCTGCAACGCGGAAAGTGGGCTCACAGATATCCATGGAATTGAAGAAGATTACAGAAAAGTCGGCCGAACAGTATAGTACAGAGAAGAATACCAGCCGTTTTCAATTCACTCAAGAACACGTCAACTGGTCTGTGAAACTATGAACACGGTCCTTTTTTCAGATAAATTAAAGTTTAATACCAAATATTCAGATGGAATGAGCTCGCCGAAAAAAAAAATTACATCTTGAATAGTGAACGCTGCAATACTGTAAACGTGCCTTAATAATGACGGAAGTAATATGTTGGTATGGGAATGTTTTTCCGGCTTTGGTGATGGACAACGGAATATGTATAAAAATATAAAGCGTGGTACCGAGATACTGAGTCGATTACATGGTCACCTCAAAACTAAAAACAGACCATATTGAAGTGCACTCTATGCTCCCACTGGTCTTATCCCGACGCGCGTGAGGCATTTCAGGCTGCGAAGATGTAAACGGAGACAAATAGAAACTGTTTTGCACATTCTAACCGAGGCTGGGTTCAGTATTCTTTAGAAAGTCACTAGTAATCTCACTGCATTTTTTGTACGACACTATACATATGTATTTTTAAGCATTTCTTTTTCACAGTTGTCTTTAATGAAGTGCTGGTGTATCAACTTTCCTAAATACTAGCGAAAACAAATTTTAATAATTTATAAATTATTTTGCTTAGAATAAATGTTTAGGATATTCGTGACCAAATGAGATGCCAGAAATATATTTTTAATGACATAATGCGTATCAAATCTTTATATGACATTAGAAGTTTATTTAATAATTCTTTATAATTGTGTGATTTAACATATTTCAACATTTTAGCTGTAAACGCAGTGAGTCAAATATCACATTTCGTCAAAAGCTCTACAGAAGTCAGTATTTATACTATTACGCATCCTTGTGTTTTCTTTGAACAAATTGAATAGAGGAGAGTGAAAGAGTCAAATGATTTGTAAATTTGGAATTCCTGATACCCAAAAATGTTTTTGGGATTTGCTGTTAAATAACATTTAATTTGGTAAAAATAAGTATTTTGAGAATATATATTATTTACTTCGCGAGTGTACGTTATTTGCACTGATATGTAAAGTAATTGGAATTTTTCCACAAAACCTGGAGGGATATCTTTTTGGAGAAGCACAGCTTATGCGATTGTAACAGAATTTTGTACTCATTAAAAAGTCAAGTGTAACCGTCGAAGCAACTTTGTGCCGAGCTCCTTTTCCAATTTGTGGAATGCGTCTTGATGCTTTGCCAATAAACGGTTCATTCTTCCTACAATTTATCCTAAGCAGCCTCCGAATGGCCGCTGGATTTTTATGAGAAGCTTTTATTTTATCTCAATGCTAACTACTGGGCTATTGCGGCCACAGGAACTTACACAAATTATTCATGCCGTTCCAATGGAAGTCACTGTCATGTAAATATTTACTTTTTTCACAAATAAAATGAGACATACTGTATCCAAACAGATTTTTCGTGTTGAACTCGAATATTCCTTGAATATCCTCCTACGTTACGACAAGACCATTCGCTAATCGAAACAGAAACGCTCTATTAATGAAGATTATGAGATATTTTTCATATAACTAAACCGACATGTTTCGATAATATTTTATAATAAATTATTCATTCTAACAATAATGACTAAAGAGTGTAAATTTCTAAAAGAGGTCTACGACTTTTCATGCTGAAACTAAAGAGAGGAAAATATTTTAGGTATTGCTATAAAGCCACATGGTAAATATTTTTGCTAATAGCTAATTAGTTTATTTACAATATGCAATTGATTGCAGCGGATTATTAAATATTTTTTTCTCAGGAAATTTTAATAGAAAAAATTTTGAAAATTTGGGAGAATGTTAATAAACGAATGCACTATACGATACCATAATCCCATTTAATCTTCTTATTATCAATGAAAACTTTTTTAATTTGAGAAAAAATTATGCAAATTTTAACTTGTTCTACACGCGAAATTTAAAAGTTTTTTTAAGCTTCGGGAAGGCTGACCGCTCACAACGAATAAACCGTTGAAACTTTTTTAAGACCGGTCTTTGTTTTTATATATATAATATTTTACAACTCATGTTTCAAGTGAGCTCTGAAAATACTTTTTTATTTTTTTCCGATGGTACTATCGAAGAAACTTAGTAAGAAATTGTATTATTTAAAACTTTATTATGATAATTAAGTCAAAACCATATAAGAAGAAGAAAAAGTATTAATAAATTGTGAGCACTTAAGAAATGGTTATCCCAGACCATGATGACTATTTTGATGAACTAGCAACAGGTAATAAAACACAATTCCAAAATTTCTTAAAGTAGTAATATATTTATAAATTATAGTAAATACTATTAGATACATTTGTTGAATCTTCATTACCATAAGAAATAAAAAAAAACATTCTCTAAATCTTCGCTAAATATTTAAATAATTGTTTATAATACAACCTTCCCGATTTATTAAAGGTTGAGTAAAGTTCATCACACAGAGGGGAGAAGAACAGCATTGTAAACAACATTACTAAAAATCATATGGCATATTTCTTTACTCTACTAATCTCACTTCCAATTAATTTTGCATTTAGCATATTAAGCATTATTTAGATTTCAATATATTTGATATTTAAAATAATTTTCCCGTTAAGTTAGTTTTTAAGATAAACAAATGTAATAGTATAAATCAATGCGGCATCGAAACGAATGAATTTTACTGTAAATTCAATCGATTGATTTAAATATTTCAAATTTGAAAATTTATCGTAAAGGCAGTTATCAAAATAAGTTTTATAACAATTTTAACCGCTTCATTAATGTAAATGTTAAATGTTAAATATGAAGTATGCTGTTAATATAATAAGCAAGCTTAAAATTAACAAAAATTAAATGTGCTTTTATTGAATATCAGCAGAAGTACATGCATTTAACGGCTCTGTAGATTAACAGATGGGTAAACCTTCATGAACACTAACACATGCATGCATACTTACATATGTACATCAAATTGTGTATACATATAGCTGCACTCCTCTAAAAAAAGTTTTAATGAGAGTTCAATTGTAGTTGCGCAGGAATGTACTTATACACACATACATATAAACAGAATTGGAGACTCTCAGCCAATGTTAAGCCTGACAATTTAGAGAGAATTTCGCCTCAAAGCTCACAGCGTCCATTCCTTGCGGTCCATTCTTAGTTGTTCGAAGGATTACAATGTCTTTCAGTTCCTAAACATAGTTCACGATTGTCGCATTGATATTTGGCCGTTTTGACAATGATTTTAACGGAAGTTGTGTTGTGCGTGAAAAGCGATTTCCTCTGATACTCGCTTTGTATCATTCCGAAATTAAACAACCACAGTGCGTGAACAAGAAAAAAAAATTTACTTTTAATGAAATAGACGCCGGGTTTTCAAGAAAGAAAATACATTATAAAAGAAAATATATGTGTGTATTTTGTGTATATGCGGCACAACAACTTATATACGAAATTTGGATAATGTGCAGTTTAATATAATATTATATAAAGAAGGATAATATCATTTTGATTATATGCAGTTGTGTATACATATGTACCTACATACTCGTACATACTTACAAATGCAAATCAAGTGTTTATTCGTCAGTACAAACTGAAAGAGCATACAAAAATACATGAGTATAATTTAAAACATAAAATGAGGTTAAAAAGTATGAAAGCATAAAAATTCATTGAAGATAATTCTTTTTGCTTTTGTTGTGGTTTTGTCTATGACTATGAAGTGTTTTGAAGAAATGTTATATTTGTGTAGTGATTTTACGCATAGACGGGCAAATCTGGTTAATTCATTAGTGATTCAAATTATATTTCAATACGGTTGTTATTTACTTCCGTACCTTTTCTACTTCTCTGGGCCTTAAATTTTAAAATCTCAATTCATCATGTATCTCAAAAGAGTAAAATGAATGGTTGAAGTTAATGTGGGATGATGTGATGTTGGGTGAAAATTTTAATAACAGTGAGTGTTCTAAAATGGTGATGTGACATATTTTACAGATGATTTTCGCACTCATCTCAACTTTTGATTAAGACAAAAGAAAAACTTCAAGGAATAATCTTTTTTATTATTTAAGCAATCAAATATAACAAACATATTCTGGTGATCAACTAATGATTTTCATATCCTTATTTTGTGATAAAGCAAGTAGACGCACCTTCAATTCTAAAGTTTGTAATTCAGCACATAATAATATTTATTGTGTAATTATCACGTGGGCAAAAAAGAAGGTGTTAATTATTTCAATAATAAAACAAATATAAAAATTGTTTATATATGCATACATTTTTAGTGATATTTATTCTGTGAAAATTTTCATAAAAAAAGCATCTCTCAAGTTTACTCACATACAGTATCTAACGATCATATAATAATTGAAATGAAGTTGTCGAATAATAATTAATTAACAATATTATAAAACCCAATGGTACATCATATACATGTACATATATTTTTACATGTGTATGAACATATATTTTGAGTTTTTGAAATGAGAACGAAGCCGTCAGTTTGATAAACACCTATTACATCCAAAGGGACTTACTGCAAAATGGAAGCACTGTGCCGTCTATTTCTCATGCCAAATACTTTTCTTAAATGGATAGCCGGCAATTTCGTTATGCTAGTATTACTCCTTTCTATCCGCGATGTTTTTGGGGGAGAGAAATTAGGTAAGTGAGACTATATATATTTAATATATCATTACCGAATAAGCCTACAAAAAATCTGAGGGAACGTCTTTAAATTGCTGGTATACCCATAACAAAGGTTGAATATATTTATCAATCATTTTGCTCTTAGCGGAGTTTAAGGTGCGAGTTTCATGTAGAAAAGTTTACATTGTGCGGAGTGACTGATCAAATCTGTCATGCTTTGATTTGATTGTTTGAAGCTCGAGGGTGAGCTTTATGTTCTTTGCATGGGCTGGCGATGAACATAAGGGTTTCCACATTTTTTTGAATATTATTTAGCAGAATAGTTCTTTACACATAAAAAATATGTTAAGATATCAACGACTTGAACATATGAACGGTCAACTGCAATTATTTATTTTATTTTGAGGCGGCCGCGGTAGCATTGCGTATTGCCATTCGAAAGGATTGGGTGTAAATCCTGGTGTCATACTAACATCCAAAAAGTTGTAGAATATTAATTTAAATAAAAAATTAAATTACATTTTTTAATTGTGGTCGCCCATCGGCAGGAAATGTCAACCCTTCCTAGTGTATTTCCGACATGAAATAAAGATTCCTTATAAAAAACCACCAGCCGTTCGGAGACGGCTTAGTAAAAACTGTAAGTTTTTCCATTTGTTGGAAAAACATCAAGACGCAAAACCATAAATTGGAGGAGGAGCTTGGCCGCTTCAGCGGGTATGAACATGCACATACATATACATATATGTTTGCATTGCTTATAGATAGATGATGTAGTGCAGTTGGAAATGTCTACAGAAATCCCGGAATAGTTAAATAGATTATTTTATGAACTGTATTTAAGTTTAAGACACATACGTACATAAATGAATATAACACCATGTTATGCTAAATAGATTTAGAGCATGATTTTTAAGCATTCAAGTAAAGATAATTGGCATTGAAAAAGGAGTGCGTCCAACTTCGTCTCAATGGGGATTTTTCACACATATTTTGAATTGTTGAGAGGGCTGACATTTTGTTCAGGGAATTTATTTATTACTTCGGCTTGTTATAAATTGTCCAACTCGGTTGTGAGCTCCAAATGGCTTGGTGGACCTAGCTCATAACTTTTGGTTTGTCTCAGCCTATCCATATATTGATCAAAGTGCCTAAGCATTCAATCATTTGAATATATTAAAGTCCTAATTATTATCACCCCATTGACGTAAATACATCGGAGTCTAGCTTTTCATACAGGATGATTTCTACCAGGGCGTGGAATAAGCAGAGCAGATTAAATTTTTATGTTAAAGCTCAGTATATTTGCTTATTGATTAGTATTGCCAAATCGAAGTCTTGGGCGATATTGAAATATTTATAAAACATTAGAGTTATGTGATATCCTTAATATAAATCGATTTTATTATTTTAGCCGATGTTTTATAGTAAACGCAGGTTCGTTGGTGTATTTCAGAGATAAGCTATTTGTAAATTTCAGATCTTCTAACTTTACTGAGGTTGAGAAAGAAAAGTTTCGAACTAAGCCCGCTAATAATATTTTTATTGCCATAAGAGCGTACTTCCAACCTGCGGAATAAAAAACAAACCAAATACTTATACGAAAGATTAAGAAGATTAAACATATATATTTCTTACCTATGCAATTACGAATACCTTTGGAAAAAGGTATGTAGGCATGTGTATGCTTTTCTTCCAAATTGCCGGGCAGAAAGTTATCTGGGTTGAACTCATGAGCATTTGCACCCCATATATCTGTTCGACGATGCAAATCAAATATTGATATTAAAATTTCTAATCCACGCGGAAGCACAAGACCATTGGATAGTGTTGTATTTTTAACAACTTGTCTTCCAATAATGGGTATTGGTGGCAATAGTCTCAAAGTCTCGTTGACAACCATATCCAAATAGGGCAAATGCTGCATGTGTTCATAGTCCATGAAAAATGTTTTCTCCGGGAACACGCTTACAATCTCATCGTACAACCTTTCTTGCACTACAGGATGTATGGCCAACATTAGAAGTGATGACAACAAACCATTGGCAGATGTTTCAAAAGCCTGCAGAATATTAACAAACACTAATTACTCGTCAACTTTATTCTACTCTTAATATAGGTATACTGATAGTATTTATCTAATCTTCACCACAACCATCGATTGAACACGCGCTGATTTGTGACTACATAATTTTAATATGAAGCTATTCAAGCAAATGATAAATGCATTGCAGAGGAAATTATTGTAAAATTAATTTTCAGTAACACCTATTCGCGGCTTGATTTCCTTTAATGCGCTTTAGGTAGCTAATACATACATACATACAATGCTTAGTTGAGCTAGTAATGTCAGCCTGACTATCTGTTTTTATGATATTAAGTCAATTCGTCAGAATTGGCTAGTTCGACTGGCATAATATAATATAATAATATGTTTTTTTTGATATGGGATTACGAGATATATTCACACAAACTGAGTTCCACTAACACTCTTGGTGCAAATATATAAGTATATCTTGTAAATTTAGTTACCTACCGCCGATACGATGGTATTAGATTCACCAATTAAAGAGTGATGCGACATTTTCCCTTCCCGATAGAGGTTTATAGCCTGATCAACGAATATGTTTGGAGCTCTCTCATTAAAAGCATTTCCTCCAAAAGAATCCTCCACATTGGTTTCAGAATTTTCGGAACACTCCATAGTATAAGTACAACTTTTTCTAGAAACTGTTTGTGAGAGTTTCTGATACAAAAGCTAGCAAATAATAAAATGTAGCTTAGAAAATTGTCACAGTTTTCATAATATTAGTTACCTCTTCAATGAATCGATATACGTACTCCTTTGCTGTTTTCGAAAATTGAGCATACCATTTACCCAACTTTACATAGGACAAAAAGCATTCCATAGGTAGTTTCTCAATACATCTGAATGAATATATATTTCTTTATTTATATACATTTTTTCTTCAAATGTTGTTCTTACATAACATAGGCCTTCACCAATTCCTCAGATACCTGATCGCCTTCTTGCATTTTTTTCCCCATTGTTGTTTCTAAAATATTTATGTATGTTTTTCTACGGTTTATATAATATAATTAAATGCTATTACCTACGGTGATACTTAAAGTAATTCTTTGTAGCTCTTCGCTTAAAAGAACTTCCTTATTGGAGATCATTTCACCGAATTTTTGAATGGCTCCGTCCTTAGCCTTGTTAAATATGGGTAAAAATGTTGTGAGCACTTTTTGATGAAAGCTTGGATTCAACATACGGCGATTTTTATGCCATTCGTCCGCTTTATTTTGAAATATGAGTTCAAAAAGAATTAAAATTCGGTTTATACAGATAGATGGAAATTTAGAGTGATTTAAAAAAGAATTTACTTCCAAATAGGCTTAAAGGTTCTTTTTCAAGCATAAAGAAAAGTATGGCGAAAATGTATACCTTTGGACCTGTTACAAACAGGGTCTGCATTCTGTTTTTTCCACAGAATAAGACTGCGTTATTTGGCAGTGTGTTTGTTGTGAAACGATCTAAACCACAATCAAATATTAAACATCCACCAGTGGTTGAAATAAACTTTGTGAAACAAAAATAAAGCCGAAACGTGAGCAAAAGAAAAATAGAATCGACTTATACTACTATGAATGAAGGCTAACCAGAGCCGATAATCATTGTTAACAACGGCAGAATATTGCCAATCAAATATATTTGTACATATATCATTTATTTTAAAACAAATTGCTTTCACTTAGTTCATTTCAAGTTTATTTACAAAAGTCTCTGCTGGCAGCCTTATGCAAAAGATGGGGAAAATCAAATCGCTGCTGCTTTTTACGTCGCGAACATCATTAACGGCAACGCCATGGCGCTCGCATGAGATTGGTCATTCTTTTGATATCATTATTTACATTGCCACTTCCATGCTTTCAAAAGTACATACACGTATATTCTTCCTTAATCATACTTACCTGGACTAGCAATAAGGCCTCCTTTGAATGCATTATATAATGGTTGGTAAAGAGGTTGGGCCTTCTCAAGCAAATCGTTTGAGCATAGCACATCTTTAATGAATGCAGGATCGGCTGTTAAAATGACTGGATAAGTCCCAATCCATGTCAATATAGTGAATTTTCCACAATCTTTCAATAATTTTCCAAACTCGGAAATAATATCTGAAAGTAAAGAATTTCATTTCACGTAGATCAAGTCCAACTTTAAATAATTGTTCGGTTTTCAATATTAGTTTTTCTCGTGCATTCGCCAGCATAGATTTTAAGTAAGGTTATCATATGGGTTCCTAAGATATTACTTTTGTATAACATAAGTTTTCCAACTATTATATTAACCTAGACATTTATATATATATATATATGTACATATATATAATTGACGCTTTGTGACCATTGAAACGATTTTCGACCGTGCTCCTCATCCGATTTGTGGTTTTGCGTCTTGATGTTTTACCAACAAATGGAGGGACTTACAGTTTATATTGTACTAAACCGCCCTCGAACGGCTGATGGCTTTTTATGTGAAGCCTTTATTCCATATCAGAAATACACTCGGAGAGTTTTAAATGATTTTTTTATTTAAATTAATTTTCTATTACTTTTGGAATTTGGTGGTACCGGAAATGAAGTTGACCTCAGGTACCCCGACTTAATTAACCATGCAGTACAATGCTTGATTAAAAATAACAGACTAACCCTGTGGCAATTAATTAAGTCTAAATTTGACTCAAATTTTTTTTCAAGTAAAAGTGTAAGATATTTTAAATGATATTTAAGCACATATCAATGAAAATATTTTTGTCAAATATTTGTACTCTATCTTAACCCATACGTGTATATTTGATGCTTCTTCTTGAAATTGATCTACCAAATTGCTTGACAACAAATTATTTTTGCTGCCCGAGGAAAAACGGAAATGGATTTCTTCAAAACTTTGTAAAGAAGCGAGGCTAATTCACAGAAGGTAGTACCGAGATTACAAAAACAACAACGTAATTAGTTTTATTTAAAAATGTGTTCGAAGTGTAAAACCGTGAACTCGCTCGATATTGCTCGTACATTGCTTATATATTCTGTTTGAGTAATATAAAGAAATGAAAAGAGCAATCTTAAAATATGTACGTATGTAAGGCAATTAATAATTTTACTTTTAAATTACGTTTTCTATGAAGCTGTGTATGTACATCTGTTCACTTCCTTTTTTTTTTTAAACTAATAACAAAAATATTTTTAAAGAGATTTTTTATGTAGATACTGTTTTTTTATTCTTTTGAATATTAGTACGTAAAGGTGTAAGTTCCAAGTTTGAAAAGCTTGCAACAGGATAAATCAAAGCGGCTTCTTATTCTGGATCACTATGGCTACGCCCGGAACTACAATGAAACATTTTCACAAAAAAAAAAAAAAAAAAAACACAAAATGGCGGACTCTTCAATTTGTTTACCTTTTTTTTAATTTTAATTGCTTATAAATTTTTTAAATGACATGAATTTTTGATTACAATACCGACCATAGAGAGAAATTTTATGTAGTTCTTGGTCTTGCGGTCTTACAAAAAAGGTAATTGAAATTTAATTTAAATAAAAAATGAAGTTATATTTTCTAATTTCGGTCATCCTTCGGCAGGGAATATCAACCAACAGAAAAGAAACAACTTCTAATTCGATAAACTTGCAAGAATTCTCGGATTTTTATTGTTTCAAAAAATTTATAAAAGGTTTATGCTTAGATCTTGAGTATTTTTTTCTTCTTAACATTGCGAAAAATAAAGAAAAAATCAACATAGTCATGGATAGTATTCTATGTTTAGCCGGACGCTTTACACCCAAAAGCGCTACGTATATCCACGCATGGAAATGTTAAGCATAATTTCACTGCACCCAAAATTTTGACCTTGTCAGTTGTTATGGTCCATTAAGATCATTAATCTAACTCTCTTCTTATTTTACTATCTTCTTTGTCCGTTTCTGGGTTGTGAAAAGCATTGAATGAAAAGAAGAATAGTTGTGCTGCTATAAAAAAAATTTTCTTTTGCTATCATTTTACTAATTACACACCCCGAATGTATAATATATTTGAATAAACACATATAAGGGATTTGGCACTGCCAACTTTATTGCAAAAAATTCAATAAAATCGCGAAAATTTTTGCTAGATTATTTTCTATAACATTCGATATGAATTGACTCGAAAACAGTGCTTCGATAAACTAAATGAAATTTTTGGTGATGAAACTCCTTCAAAAATGAAGTGCTTATCGATAATATGGTGAATTCAATCGATGCCGTGGATCACTCCAAGGCGAACTTTGTGAAGGTCGTCCAAAATCAGTTCTTGTTCGGAAAAATATTGATGCTGTACGTGCTTCGAAACACGTCGATGATATCGTGACAAGAGGTGAGTCGTGGATTTAAGAAGAGCCGAATCCAACAAAACAACTGTGTGGTACACAAGTAATCAAAAAAGCCAACTGCCGAAGATGGATCAGTTTAACTTTTTTCGATACCTGAAGAGGTGGTTGGAGTGTCCAGGGCGCATATTTTGGAGATGCCTCTATCAGACTGGCAAAGGTGCTTCGTCATTCGGTTAAAAGGCGCGCAATATTCTATATACCTCAATTGAAAAATAATATATATTTTGAAAAATAATATAGCTGTTTTTGATGGTTAATATTTGTTTTTGTTCCCCAATCCGGAAATATAAAGATAACCCTCATATGTATGTTATGTAACAACATTTAAAATATATTATTTTTAATTAAATATTAATTATATATATTTTATTTATTTATTTTTTAATTATTTAATTTACATACAGATGTAAACATATATGTATTTAAGGAATTTGTTAGCATGTGCAATAGAAAATAAATTTGTATAATGACAGTAATGTTACTCTAATAAATAAAATTGCATAAAAAACTTTGTTTTGAATTCATTGAAAATTATATCCCACTAAAGCATTATTGTTTAGACATAGCCATGTGACTATTCAATTGACATTTATCTACATATTTATATTAGGACATTAAAAATCACTAACAAAACCTGTTTAGAGATGTCATTGCGAAATCCTTTCTTGTATTTTACATCTGGGACAGGAATCACAACCACTATTAGTTAATATTTTACATACATACTTCATTTCACCTTTTTGTTGTGAAATATCCTTAAGTTTGAAATATCTCAATACGAAAGCAGAAGTTTTGCTAGAAGTCATTTCCTGTATGTGGATAATACTCTTGGTATTTTAGTAGAGATGGGTTCTCGAATCAAAAAAAAAAAAAACAATTGGAATTGGGCATCTCTGCTTATACAATATATATATATATTAGATGTAAATGCATGTATGTGGCTGGACATGTATGCATACACAGTGTGTCCTAAAAATAACCGAGCTTTGTATTTAAATCATACAACATACAGCGCCATCTATTGAAAATTTGCAACATCAAAAAGATACATTCATCCTCTTTCAAACGCACCTAACATCATGTCAGTCGGATGACAGATGTAAAGTGACAGCCATTTCAATAAAACCAAAAGTGTGCTAATGGTTCAAAAATAAAATGGAACAAAGAGCAAATATAAAATTTTGTGTCAAACTTGAAAAAAAAATTAAAAAAGTTTATTGTGATGATTGTATGAGTCGTACGCAAGTTTATACCTGGTTTACACGATTTAAAAATGGTCGTGAAAATTTAAATGACGACCCTAGAGCAGGACGTCCAGAAACTAGTAATCGTGCTGAACTGGTGGAAAAAGTCCGTGAAATCATTCGTATCGATGCAAATTTTACTACAAGAATGTTGGTTGAGGAATTGAATACGAGTAAAAACCCAATTTGGAGAATTTTAACTAAAGATTTGGGGAAAAGAAAAGTCTGTGCGCGATTTGTTCCACGTGAATTAAATGACAGCCAAAAAATCGCTCATGACCATCCTTCGTATTCGCCTCATCTATCATTATTATTTCCAAAACTTAAAACCAAGATGAAGGGAGCATTTTATGATGATATCCCAGCCATTCAAGCAGCCGTAACCGAGGTAATGAAGAACATTTCTATAAATGACCTAAAAAAAATCTATGCATGCGCTGGCTGATCGTTCCAAACGTTGTGTTGAGTCAAATGGAACTTATTTTGAATAAATAATAACTTTCAAAGTTAATATAATGTGGATTTTATTTGGAATCGAAAAAGTTCGGTTATTTTTGGGACACGCCGTGTATGTATTTACTAAAACAGTTTCACTATGTATAAATCGAAAGATTAAATAGTGAAAAAAATTTAAATTTTGAAAATGAAATTTACCTTCGTCTACCAAACAAGAAGTCTGATTATTGCATATACAAAAAGTTTCTTAATTAACCAAATAAGAAATAAGTAATGCTTATTCACATGTTTCATATAACGAAAGAAATTTTTATTACTTTTATTTTCGGAAGTGTTTTATGTTCAACAGTTGAGCTTGGCAACGAAATGCAAAACGAAAACAATTCAGGTGATTTCGGCTGTGGGCTCAATCCGGAAACAGACTAACTGCATCAGCGGGGGATTTTTCTTTAAACTGAAAGATATTAATTCTTTTTTATTGGGGTACCGAACTCTGTAACTTGATGCTCATTTAATGCTCAAAAGTTTGTTCAAAAGTTTCGAGCTTCAACTCAGTTTTATTTGCCACAACTTCTTTTTCACTGACATCGTTGACTGAATCACTGAAGCGATTTTCGGCCGAAGAAATACATTCACATTTGAGAATCTTGTTCGGAAATTTTTGAGTGCGGCCGCGGTATCCCAGTGTTTGCATTGCGTACTGTCATTAAGGGTTCAAACCCTGGTACAACCAACAACCAACGTCCAAAAGTTATAATAATTGTGATAATGTCAAACCCTCCCTGACATGAAATAAAGCTCCTCATAAAAAACCATCAGCCGCTCGGATGTGGTTAGTATAAACTGGGCCCTCCAGTTGTTGGAAAAGCATCACAACGCAAAACCAAAAATTTGAGGAGTAGCTCGGCCGGAAATCACTTTAGCGTTTACAAAATGCCAATTGTATAAGTATTTAACAATTGAGCGAATTAAAATTTATGCCAAATTATTTAATAAACCTGTACTTTTAAATCCATAATTTTTGATTTGCGATATGAAACATATCCTAT